CAGACCATCCAAGCTCAAGAATTTTTTCTTGAGTCACCCTTGCTGTATGCGGTCGCGCGTTGTCGTGTAAAAGAATGATATTTCTGCGATTGACGAGTGCAGGGCGCTTTTCTAGGAGTTTCTCTTGCACTCTTTGCAATTGCTGAATGTATTTATCCGCAGTAATCGTTAAATTTGACTTCAACAACTCGTGGTGACTTATACCTTCATAATCTCACCATAATACACAATATAAAATCTATTTAGCTGCATCGGAAGTTACTTATGACTCGACCTAATATAATAAAATGGACCTAGATGCGTGTAATATTGATCAAATAAAATCGCATAATAATAATAAATAATTACTTTTGTAAAAAGTAATTTAATTTTATATGAAGTTTTTATACGACGCCATTTTGTCTTATATCTGGCATCTACAATTTCGATGACAGTAATTTGGGATTGTGCATAAAAATGGCACACATACACCAAATCAAGTGCTATGCATAGCATTGTAACACTTCAGTTTCCTATATGAATGTTAGCACATCGACTAACTGTTCATTTTTTATGAACAAAGTTATTGTCCTTTTCTATGTTTCCTGTATAAAATATTTGAAAGATTAGTGGGAGGTTAGATAAGAAGTAAAGATAGATGTGTATAGTTAATGCGAAGACGTTAAATGTAATAAAAGATCTTGACAGAATTAGTATCTGCACCATTCATAAGTTTGCAATTTAAAATAAAAATTTGTTATACAAATTTATTTATTTATTTCTTATCTATTTTGTTACTGCTTATTTATTTAGTTGAACATGTTATATGTATTTTTAATGATATTAGCGCTAATTAATATATCAAGAGAAATTAAATATAGTTCAAAGCTGGGCATTCAGTGCATTCAATTTTAACAAATTGGTTCACTTGCACATGTACTATCGACAACCCTGTTCTTGGCGCGTAGGAGGCTGACCCGAGAGTTTGGGGCTGCGGCTCCAATTGGTCAGAATAGAAAAATGGACTAGACTAATACGTATTTCGTAGAAACTATTGGCACGAACCGTTATGCACAATGGAGCTAAAGAACGAGGACAATCGACAAAGGTTTCGAGTGATCGTCTCGAACGTTAGAACATCACATTGGGACTGTTCAAGGTGGGATAGGCGGTGCGTCCCTTAAATCTGGATCAGCCTTCTATGCGCCAAAAACAGGGTTATCAACAGTATACCTTCTAATTAAGATGCACATTTATGTAAAATTTGTAGATATCGGCCATACATGAAAATATTTGTCTACAAGTAAAAATTTGAATTTTAATTAGTAAAAATGCCTTTTTAAAAAATTAGTATTTGCAAATAATGTATTCAATGTAAATAATCAACGAATAATCGTTCATTTTAATGTTTTAAGTGTTTAATAGTTTTAATGTAAATTTGAACACGAAATTAGTAAGTGATTATGACTGATGGATGGAGGTGTACTAATACACTGACAGATACACACCAACAATATTATAAATAGAAAAAGACGTTTTCTAGGCATGACATTTATTGTATTATAAAAAGCATTAAAAATAAGAATTTTTCCCAAAAATTCAGAGACAACATTTTTGAACTTAATTTTTATGTAACTTTCTACACATTGAACATTACAAAATCGTTTTTTAAAAAGAAAAAAAGATACCTACACCAAATTAATTACAAATTCAGACGAGATTCAATATTTGTTTTAAATAAGTTTCGGGGTATTCAGTGCATTAAATACATCTACAATACCTCGGTGTTAGTTATGAATCATATACACTCATTCTATTCGGTAGAATCAGAAAATTCAATATGGAGGTAAAGTTATCTCGTACGTATAAACCTCTTTATGTACAAAGAACTGTAACATCATCATAGTCAATAAGGAATTATCTATTAAAATATATGGCTGATTTACATTCTAAGTTTTAATGTTCTGATACAAAAACGTATCAATTTTGAAATTATATTAATTGTAACATATTTATTAGTACTTCGACAATAACTACGTCTATTAATTTATAACGCTGTGCAAAAATTTGAAGCCATTTTTAACGAAGCTTCGCTAAATGCTACAGCAACTATACTTAAATCCGCAGCTAAATAAATATTTTCAGATAAATTATTTGTCTTCATTTTTAATTTACTCGTTTGCTTTGAAATTAGTTAAATAACCTACCGTGTCAAATGCTGCCATCAAATTGTCAGAAATACGAATTTGAATTAATAATTAAAAAATTTCAATAGTGCATAGGTTTGTGCAAACTTCGAGTTAAATTATATATACTTCTGCGGAACCAAATTGTTGCTTACGTTGCATATATCGATAGTACACTTCGCTAGAAGCGTGAAATTAAATAAACAGAAGATGATAAGATATGCAAACAAAGCTAAAATTGAAATAACAAAAATATGCTCTAATAAACAATGTGCATTAATATTTAAATACTCGAAATACCAGTTGTGTAAATAACTCTGTCAGCACCACTGTTTAAGTTTGTGTTTTCGTCGGCGGTAGTGGGTGGTGGTGGCATAGCAAAAATTGGTTGCTGGGCGGTAGAACTATTTGTAGGTCCACCAGGTTGCGCTGTAATCGCATCGTCATCACTTTCTTCTTCCTGTTAATCAAAAATTCATCATGAATACTGTTTCCTTAATCTGATTGTATCAGAACAACTCAATTTTTCGACGGTGAATACGCACAGTTTATTTCAATTATTATATAACACACGTATTATAATTTAGTCTGCGAGTGACATCAATATTACAATCAAAGCCGAAATACTTGATCCCGCCACGAAAGTCTTTGCAAAATATAAAGTAAAGTCCGTAATGACAAAACAAGTACGTCCCGTAGTGACAAATTATAAGTGAAGCCTCGTAACAACAAATATAAAGAATGCAACGCGTAGCAACAAATATAAGAGAATGAATCGAATGAAGTGCGGGCCCGGTGCCCTCGCTTATTTTATACGTTTCACTCCCCTACGACGTCTCCTAGCAACCACCCGATTTCTTCGAAATCTGCCACGTGCCCTCCGTCGACCTTGGCTTCGCGGTCATCCCTCTACGACCGATCCTTGCGATGCCGCCCGCCCTTTGCGGCCGAGCCGCCGCGCCGCCACGCCGCGCGCCGATACCGATGTCGCGCCGGCACTTGCCGGTACCCGCCGTCAAACGGAGCGGTCCGCGCCTTTGTACTCGTTTCTC